TATTATTTGACTTAACAATTTAGATATGATCATACTTCGTCCAATTTTCAGAAAAGTTAAAATATAGAAGGTTTCAAACCGCAAGTAAAACGCCTTAATTATGGTATTATTAGTGAAGTATGGAAAAGAGAGACTATGCCAGAGGAGTGGAATACGGCAATACTATGTCCTATCTTTAAGAAGGGAGATCCAATGTTAGTGTCAAATTATAGGGGTATATCATTATTGGATACAGGATATAAAGTATTTAGATAATTGCTACTGGAACGAATAGGCCCATATGCAACATGGATCGTGGGGGAATACTAGTGCGGATTTAAAAAAGGAAAATCAACAATGGATCATATCCATACCATCAGACAATTAGCGGAGAAGCGTTACGAATATAATAAGTACATACACCTAGTATTCATAGACTTTAAGCAAGCCTACGACTCTATTAATAGAGAAGAGTTATGGAAGGCCCTGAGATGTAAAATCTGGCCTCCGTCAAGGAGATTCATTGTCACCGATAATATTCAACATTTCTCTGGAATGGGTAGTGAGAACAGCCAATGAAACTCGACAAATGGAAGTAGGTGAAATTGAAACCATCCTTGCTTATGCGGACGATGTGGTCATTATGGGGAATTCTAGAGTCGAAGCGGAGCAAACCACAATAAAATTCTTGGAAGCAGGCAAGATCATGGGTTTAGAAGTCAACTAGGAGAAAAAAAAATACACGTGTACTTCACGGAATGACAGAAATGATTTAAGTCTACGGGTAGATCCTTATGCCTTTGAAAAAGTAGAGGCGTTTAAATATTTAGGGATAAATACAAACAGCAAAAATATTATACATGAAGAAATAAAAGAACGGATAGCTAGTGCAAACCGATGTTATTATAGTCTACTAAAACTATTCAAATCGAAGTTATTATCAAGAGAATCGAAGGTAACTCTATACACAATCTACCTGAGACCAGTGTTGATACATGAACGTGAGACGTGGGCTACTACAAAAGACGATTACGCTAAGATATATACAACAGTAAGAAAAATACTCAGAAAAATATTCGGCCTAGTTTATAAAATAGAAAAAAGAACACACGAAAGAAGACATTATAATAACTTTAAAAGTTTATATGGAAGACAAAATATACTATCGGTTAGCAGAAGTAAGAGGATAGAATGGGCTGGACATGTTTGAAGGGCGGATGGAAAAATTATAAAACAATTTACAGAAGAAAATATTGCGAAGAAAAGACCTGTAAGAAGACCCCGAACATAACCGCTAAGATGTTAAGATGATTAATTGATCTTATTTGTCGTCATAGGTACTTGTAATAATATAAAAAGGCATTTTACTAAGTTTCTGAATTATATCATTACTAAATTTAATTTTTTTAACCAAGTTTTTCTTTTTTATACTGAGTTATAACCAAGTATGTTTGATGTAATATAACAATACGGTACATGCCCAATTTAATACGATATTAAATATGTTTAAAAAATTTTGTTTGTACAAGATATTTTAAAGTAGAGTTGATGGATGTTTATTGGCTAACTTCATTATTCGGTGTACTGATTGCTTTTTGAGTACTTGGTGATAGAAATTTGCATGGAAAATGAAGAAGTGTGACGTATTATCAAGAATGGTACTTTGAAATTAATTCGAGTTAATAATTATGTAGAATATATAAAAGCTTGGTTGGTGCAGAACTGACGAATAATCATAAACTGGGTGATAAATTTTAACACATTTTTTGCAAAGTTCAGAAACTTATGTTGAACAGTCTCAATTTGATTCATATCACAAGGAATACTTGGATCCCATAAAAATATACAATAGATTCATATTCTAATACATATTTCACAAAACATAATATAAAGAGTTTTTTGGAGAAACTAAATTAAATTTATTACAAATCCTCTTTATGAAATCAAACTTTTTTAAAGCTTTACAACAAATTCTATTTAAATGAATTTGAAAATTAAACTCGCGCTCAAAAGTCAAAAATTATACCCAAATCAATAATAATTGTAAGTTTGTCTAACTCTCTGGCGAGTTTTTTGATCACGTACCACCCTAACCGCAACAATCCGTGCTAGTATCCTCCTTACGACAAACGATGAGCCAGCTGCGATATACGCCCAGGAGGCTAGGGCAAATCACGACAACCGAAGTACCACGTTCGTGCCTAACTAGTACCTACCTAAACCGGGTTAGTCACGTCTTCATAAGACAGTCTAGATGTCCATCAACCGACACGAGCGAAGACTCGATCGTCGACCATTACTATGTGCACAATAACGATTAAAAACGACCCGCGATTGTTTTTTTTTCGCCTAGGTGTTATGTAATGTCACGCTATAATCGCATTATCAGCACTATATTTTTATTAATATGCTTTTTTGTAATTATTGTACTTATTGTAAATGTTTGTCATATTTAATGTAACGATTATATTTCTTACCGTGATTTATTTTGTATACACCGCGCTCCCCTCCTCAAAGGCACGATATGCCGACGGTATAAGACGCAACGGGCCGAAACGGTCTCGTCCATTCGAGTTTTTAAAATTTTTTGCACCCGCTCGCAACATCTTCAAATAACCAAACCGCTCACCATACGCACCGTCACTAACCGCAAAATACTGTCGGCTTTTACACGACATATCGCGTGACACTCTGTGCTTCTTTCTGGTGTAAGCACAGCGTCGCATCACACTTTATTTTATTTCATACTTTGTTTATACACTGTTTATTTCTTTCGTACAAAAATATTACCAACTCGAAATACCACAAAACGATCGGTGTTATATTTATTTTACCTTATCCTAACCTTACATTCATCACACGATTTAGATCGCCTGTTGGCACAATTTATCACCTTCAACAATTGTACCACAGGTTTGTGGATTATAATTAATTATATGATACTAGCACCGGTGAAACTCGCTGTAAGTGAATACCCTAGGTCGGTGAAACTCGCTGTAAGTGAATACCCTAGGTCGGTGAAACTTGCTATATGTGAATACCCTAGGTCGGTGAAACTTGCTATATGTGAATACCCTAGGTCGGTGAAACTCGCTGTATGTGAATACCCTAGGTCGGTAAAACTCGCTGTATGTGAGTACCCTAGGTCGGTAAAACTCGCTGTATGTGAGTACCCTAGGTAGCTGAATATCGTTTGAAGTGAATTTCCTAGGTCGGAGACAGGACTTAAGAATACAGCAGTTAGAAAAGTCTAGTAGGCAAAACCAGTGATAACGACGAATGAGATGTTGGTACCTCTGATTTGGTGGCTCTACACTTTGGCGGTGTCGTTTTAAACGCGTAAATAATAAAAGTCTAATTCGAGCGTCTAGTGGTCGGTCATTTCATTAAATTCACAAGTGTAATACACCTTGTCCCGTAGCTTGCCCTGTGCTTTTGTGCATGGAAAATAAATAAATACATTCCGAAATGGTAATTAAATGTCTAGCTATCAGTCATTACCCGGTGCTTGTCGTTACTCGACTGGGCAATCCGCGTAGCTTGCCCTGTGATTTTGTGCATGGAAAATAAATAAATATACACTCCGAAAGGTTGATCAAGTGTCTAGTTATCAGTCATCGTCCAGTGAATATCGATTCCTGACAGGGCATACCTCCTGACGTCGAAGGCGTTGTGCTGTTTAGTACGCAAAAAATTTTAAGCCGAATCGAGCGCTCGATTTCTCAAGCGATCACCAATGAAAATCCAGTTAAACGCGTTTAAACCTCCCAGGTAGGCAATCCGACTGCGTCGGATCGCGGACGATGTGGGCGTAAAGGAGAGATTTTAAACGTATTATGGAACACGCATGTCGAACGTTAGCTAGTTGAAAATCAAAAAAACTATACATAATTAATATTTTTTTTTAATATTTTATAGATGGTTAGATATCGAAAAGAAATATTATGCGCTTTCTGTGATGACAAAATATTTAAAATTCAAAAGAAAAAAAATTTGCTACTGTTTTTCCCCTGTATCTTTCAAATGTAAGCAACTGAAAGGCTAAACATATAAAATAGTGAATTCATCGTCAAAACTGAGTGAAACAACTGTATCGTCATCAATAGAACGTTCTCAGGCTATAATATAAATTGCATATCACATAATATGTACATTTGAATTGTGCATACTGTTAGCAATAACTATAATTGGTTTAATTGAATACTATTGTGTAATTTAAAGGCGCGTACACACTAGCGTAACAAAACAGTGAACATGTAACACTTCAAAGTTCGACAAAATGTTACAATATATAAATTAAACTTGTAACTTGTAACTTTAAATGTATCTGTAACATGTAACATAATAATTTTTCCATTAAAAGACGTCAGTGTTACCTACACAGTGTCCGAGTATAGACACAAATCATGTCTCTTCAAATAGCTGCTGCTGCATACATTTATATTCATCTTGCTTTGAAAAAGAAGAATAAAAGACGAAGACGATGGTGGACAACACACTTATATACTGGACGTGAAAAAACTGGAGGAAATACTTTATTACAAGATTTAAGGACTCAAGAAATAAATGGACAATTTCAAAATTTTATGAGAATGACATCAACAGATTTTGATTTGCTTATAAATTTGATTGCACCTAAAATTGCTAAAAGTGAAACAATTTTTAGAAAACCGATTTCAGTACAAGAAAGATTAGCAGTAACCCTTAGATTTCTAGTAACTGGTGAATCATTCACAAGCTTACAGTATTTGTTTAGAATGTCTAAACAAGTTATTAGTAACATAGTGCCTGAAGTGTGTGAAGCCATTATTGATGTTTTAAAAGATAACATTCAGGTAAAAATTTAATATTAAGATAAATTTGTACAAAATATAGCTATATAAAAAATTAAATAAATAAACAAAAAAAAATCACCTTTAATAAAAAATCAACAAAATACAAAATATTTCAAGTTAAAAAATAAAATAAAATAACCCTCGTTAAAAGTAAAAAATAAAATAAACTGTTAACTTTTTCACAGAATTAAATAATAATTGCATTTACATAATATCACTGAAATCCAATTCTTCAGAAGTAAATGTATTTGAGGGTGACGGAACTGGTGTAGATGTTTGTGTAAATTTAGCTGGAGATGATTGTGTAAATGCAGCTGGAGATGTTTGTGGTACTGGTGTATATGTAATATTAGTATCATGAGTTGGAAATGAGTATGGCAGTGAAGAAGAATGCATGTTCATTGGATAACTTTGCGAATGATAATTATAATTATGAGTTGATGGATCAGAAATGTAGTGATTATTTTGATATGTTAATTGTTGTTGATTAAAATATCCATAATCTGCTTTAAATAAAATATTTGATATTTCATATTGAACAATACTTCTAACTTGTTGGTTGTATTTTTCTAATTTACTTCCAACAAACTGTCCAAATGATTGACTTTCATTATTTACGGCTGAGGCTGATGCCGCCGATTCTAGAATTTTGAACGCTTTATCTAGTCTACCATCTTCTTTGATAATTTTTTTTTTTTTTGATGGCTGTGTTGATGAACCTTGATTTTCTGAGGTAATTTGTGTTTCTTTAGAATGAATTTGTAGTTCTTCAGTAGGAATTTGGTTAATTTCGGTTGGATCATTATCATCGGCCATCTAAAATAAATTGCGGGGATTGTAAATAATGTGTGCATGAAAATAAAAAAAAAAATGATTATGATATCACAAAATATTATTGTTTATTTAAAGTAAAAATCTCAAACATGCACAATTTTTCTTATTATTAATATACAGTGTGTTCACCAATTTAGGGAATTTCTCGGCCGAATTTTTTTGGAATAAATCAATTTTTTTTTTTTTACAAACTGGTGGTATATAAATACACATTTTCCGATACATATCAAAATTTTTTGAAATTTTGGTGTGTTTGAATAGCAAAATTTATTTTGAACATCATATTCGGATAGGTCTATTTTTTTAAAGCAATTTTGATGTACCTATCAATTATGGTTCTAAATTCAAAATTGACCGAATAAGAGCCATGTCAATTTTAATAAATAATACATTTTTTTATTATTTTAAAAAATTATAAAATCATTTATAATTAGTTCATAATGGTTACTTTTTGAATATTTGTACATTTTTTTTTTTTTAGAAGTGTCATAAACAATACTAACATAATACGGGTATAAGATTATAACACTACTAAAAAAAAATACGTACAAACATTCAAAACGTAACCAACAAGAATTAATTATAAATGATTTTATAATTTTTTTAAATAATAAAAAAAATATATTATTTATCAAAATTGACATGGCTCTTATTCAGTCAATTTTGAATTTAGAACCATAGTTGATACATCAAAATTGCTTAAAAAAATAGACCTATCCGAATATGATGTTCAAAATAGATGTTGCTATTCAAAAAAAAAAAGTTTTTACTGAGCATGCGCAGATCAAAATATAAAAAAATTTTGAAATGTATCAAAAAATGTGTATTAATATACCACCAGTTTATAAAAAAAAAAATCCGGCCGAGAAATTCAGTGTTCCCTAAATTGGTGAGCACCCTGTATATAATATATTAATAATAATCAATTTTAAAATGTTAACTTAAATTAATTAGGTAGTTTAATAAATATTTTTTTAACATAATGAATTATAAATCAATTATAATTTATACTGAATAATATACACAAAGTAATTAAAATTAATAAAACAAATGATTACTATGAAATATGATTGTTTAAATATTTATTTGTATTATTATATTATAATCGTATTATTTTATATACAACTTCAGGTACCTAATACACCAAAAAAATGGTTGGAAATCGCAAATGATTTTGAAAGTAAGTGGAATTTTCCACACACACTGGGTTCTATGGATGGAAAACATGTAGTAATCCAAGCTCCTATAAATACTGGGAGTGAATATATTAACTATAAATCTTCATTCAGTATTGTCTTATTTGCTGTTGTCGATGCGAACTATAATTTCATATTCGTCGATGCAGGTTGCCAAGGAAGAATTTCAGACGCAGGTGTATTTCAGGATTGTCAACTTAATAAAAGATTAAAATCGAATTCACTAGATTTACCATTATTAGCTCCACTACCAGGTAGACGTAAAAAAATACCATATTTTTTTATTGGAGATGGAGCATTTCCTTTAACAGAAAATATAATGAAACCTTTTCCTGGCTTACATTCTAAAGGCACGCCGCAACGAATATATAATTATAGACTTTCTCGAGCACGTCGGGTAGTGGAAAATGTTTTCGGTATTATTTCATCTGTATTTAGAGTTCTCCGAAAACCTCTATTATTAAATCCAGAAAAATCAGAACTAGTTGTTATGACTATAACACACCTCCATAATTTTTTAAGAAGAAATAATAATTCAGCCGCTATTTATACCCCAAATGGAATATTTGATTCTGAAGTAAATGGAAACTTCATTGAAGGAACGTGGAGGAACACTAATAATGAAGAAATATCATCCCTCAGACCAATAAGGAGAGTAGCACGTAAATCAACTTTAAATTCGATGGAAATACGAGAAGAAGTAATGCACTATTGTAGTAATGAAGGTTATGTTAGTTGGCAAGAAGAATATGCATAATTTAAATAGGTATTTTAAAAATTAAAAAATAATTTAATCACCAGTAGTTATATTTATCATTTTAGTTTAATATGTTATTATTATATTTTTAATTAGCTGATAATAAACACGAAATAAAAATATTTCAATATTTTTAAAATTATTTATAAGTTATAATCATATAAAAATTTCTAAATTTACCGTGCATCTTCTTTGTCGAGGAGTATCTTTGTTTTTTAAAAATTCTAAACTTTCAAATGCGAACCACGATGACTTATACACGTCTTCAGCACCTTATGAGTGAACAAAATTTTATAATTAACTATAATTTAGTTTACGTAATATTGACTTACCTGAACCGGTTCCTATACTTTTCCGTATTTTCATTTTTTCCCTTCTATATGCAGCAAGTATTGTCACAATTTTAGTTTTACATTCATTTGCAGTGATTGTAGTTGAAATATGATCGGACAATTCACTTGCGATTTCATTCCAAGCATCATTTTTCAAAATCTTATTAAAATGATTTTTGTTCATAGGGTTCCATATTATTTCTTTACTACGATAAACTTCAATAAGTTTTAATACATTTTCATTTGTCCAATCTACCATAGTTACAAAATGTATTTAAACGATAGGTATTAAAGGACTATGGTTTGTCTTAGGAAGTTAATCGTCAACTAAATGGATGTTATTATGATAAAATGGAAAATAAAAATGTACGCTGCAATTTGGTGGTTATTTATAAATATTAATATGCATGACATTATTATAACAATAATATCATACTAGTATAGTTATAAATAGTTATTTCGACAATCGAATATCGATATTATATAGTCATATATTTTATTAATTTTTGATACAAAATAATGTATGTTTGTATGCTATATTCGTATGGTGTTACATGATTATGTTCGTCATTTCGTCCATACATATTGTAACGTGAACGCGTATCACCCTTTGATGTTTCGCCAAAATACCGACAATCGGCGGATCGGTGGTTTGTTACAGAAGTATGATACAAGTTCGATGATTTGTTACACTCTTATGTCACACAAACATTGTTACGTGTTACATGTTCACTGTTTTGTTACGCTAGTGTGTACGCGCCTTTAACTATTTTTTCGGTATCAACAATTTTTATTGTCATAGCAGTATTTCCATGTTAATGATAGGTTGTTTACTATAATATATACTATATAATGGTGTTTTCGGTGCATTGTATGTGTGACTAATGCAGTAGTTTACAAATGCTATTACTGATTGTTATTTTTAAATTTTCCCCAGTTATGTAGAATTGTAGAACATATTTTTAAAAATAGTTAGCATTATATTTTCACTAGTCAATGTTTTTTCTCTGACAATCGACAACTATCTTTCAACTCATACAACCATGTACAACCATTACTAAACATATTGTATATTAAATTAAATGTATTTAATTTTTTTTTTATAGTTTATTAAAAGACATTAAAAATAAGAAGTTTGAACCTGGTGCCATAGCAAAATACATTGTTAATAATGAAGTGATAATTTGTATATTTGTCACGCAAAAGGCATTATACAGTTCTTTAGAAGATGGATTTAAATCCATAGATCAAACATTTAAATATTTTAAGTATTTGGCTATTCAAAGTGGCCCTATTGAACTTAGTGATAACTTTGAACATATATCATGGATAGTATTAATATTCCGATCAATTAGTCACTCTTGTGAATTATGGTTATGCGGTGATGTCAATCAAACAAGTGTCACATATTATGATCAATATTGTAAAAGTGTACTTAGCTCTATGAATCATACATTTCAAATAAGTTCTCCAGCTTAAAACAACTACAAATATAATGATAATCGACATACTAAATTAATATTTAATATTTGTTCAAATAAATAAATATGTATAATAAATAATCAAATTTGCAAGTAGTTTTTAAGTTGAAAATCATAAAAATATTTGTGTTTATAACTAAGGATTGAAAATGTAACATTAAGTTTTTCATTAGTTTTCCTTCAAGTAGCTATAAAGAAAACTCAACGCATCATTATAGGAAACATTTAAAGTGCTTTAGAATCTTAAATTTTTACTAAATAGCGTAACGTCGTGACGACAACGACAACGATTTATCCTCAAACGTTTTGAAATATTTGTTATTATTCAACATTTAATATTGACAAAAATTCGTCAACACCATGATTATTTGCAAATTATATTGTAGGTATAATTCATAAAAATGTTTGTATAAGTAGCTAAGAGTTGAAAATTCAATACGAGATTTTCCATAAGCTTAGCTTATAATAATTATAAAATAACTTAAATTCTGGTGTATTCAGGCCATTAAAACATAAACCACCCTTTTCACCAACCACTGAGAATTATTTCCTAAGCTAACAAATCAATAATAATTTACTAATTAAATAGTTTAAGGTAAGTACAGTTTAATAATTACAATTAATAATCATTTGTTTAATCATTATTCATGAATTTGTGATTGTTATTCGGTAGATAAAAAATTACAATATCTTAAGCACAGTATATTTGCAAGATGTTATTTAAAATGTAATTTTGATTAGGTACTTAAAGTTATAAAAAAACAGGCGGACCTCTAGTTTAAGAATTTGAAGGTACCTATATCAGTAAATGAGCAGATACCTATAATTATTCAAAAATATTGGCAACATAAAAATTTGTAATTGTAATGTATTTTAATTTAATAGCAGCTGTTAAAAACAAAAAATAAATTAATAACCTCAAATATTGGTTAAGATTTGAAATGGTAACCTTCTAAAACTATATACAACCATGGTTATACTAATCTATAATCTATAATAATTGATAAAGCAAATTTTTGTATTGTTTTTTTGGTTTTTTTATGCTTTTTGAAAGCTATCTATTTAACTACTGGAAGATTTGTTACACTGACCACTTAAATGGAATCCTCATAAATTTCTCTACCGATAAAGTTTTGGGTTCACAATTTCTCGTTCTCTTATGTGTGATAAATCTCGTCCGCAAATGGACGACCACAATAATTCTGAATAGAAAACATAATATTTACCCTTGTTATTTTGTAATTACTATACCTATTGTTCAGCGTTAAAGGTTTTGAGACTTGTCATAAATTAAGTTATTATGTATGCATAAAAAAATAAACATATAACTGCATAAAACTATAAAATAGTCAAGTACAGAGGTTCAAATTTTAGTCACAATACCATTTGCAGCTTGCTTCTGTTAAAATACTAAGTCCTTTATCCACAGCGAACATTCTTATTTACTTATCGTTTGAAAGTTTAAAAGTAAATCTAAGTTGTCGGATAACAAAAATCGTTTTCCTTCATTCAAAACAAATCACCTTAATTACAAATACTGTATTTTAATATAATATAAATACACAAATAGGTAGGTACCTAATCTAGACAATCTAGTATTTTTCGGACAGGTTTCAACTTAGGGGGACCATTGCTTCACCAAACGTTTTGGTTTAGGCTCTTCTAAGACGCATTCCCGAAGTCGAGGGTCTTTGAACACCCCCCCCTAGGTGTATTTTTGAAAATGTTTAATTTTTGTACAATGTTTCTGAAACTCGGGAACTGGGTAGTTTGAAGGTCGGTGATCAAATTTGGCGTCTTGTGTCGAGACCGTAGAAGCCGTTTTTCCCTGTAATTTGGGGCTTCAAAAGTTCAAAATTTACATTTTTTTCGGTTTTTTTTGGAATAGGCACTAAGATTTGGGCGCAACAAACCGTTTTTGTGATTGAATATTATAGAGGACTTTGCGCCGAATCGATGGGTTCCGAGATCGACGTTATGCGACTTGTGGTTCGGGAGTTATGATTTTTCGTATGTTTTTTGTACTTAGAAAATTACGTAGTAACGTGTTTTTTGGATTTTGAATTTTCGATCGATCACTATGAAACTCGAGATTCTGGTATTTTAGCGTACGACAATTCAAAAAGGGTCTATGGTCGAAGTACCTACGACCATTATTTCACCCGTAATCTGAGAAGCAAAAAGTTGAATAACACATAAAATTATTTTTCGTTATAACCATACGTTTCCTTGCTGTTTTCCGTCTGCCCCAATCTTTAATAGTTAGGTACCTAATTATATTTAAAGTATATTTGAATTATATTAAGAGGACGCTACACATAAAGCGAAACGTATACAACGGCCGAGAGAACGCGCTATTAAGTGTTTTCGCGATCCGCATGCACGTGACGTTAAAACACGCCCACTAACCGCAATCGGCGGTCGGCCGACGATGTGCTCATTCGGGACTTCGGGAGCGACGTTTATTATTGCATGAACGTTCGTCTAAGACGTTTCGCGTCATTATAAAATGCATACACGTAAATGTCGCCGTAATATTTTAAATGTCCGCGCGTACCCACGATCTACCGATTATAATTTAAGTCACTGCTTACCTTAATTTATGTACCAATGTATAGATTGTAGAAACTGTATTATTATTGAATTATTACTTATTCAAATATTATTAAATAAACAAATTACAATATAACTCATTGGTAATCATATGTTGATTTATATGAAATTCATACACGTATTTTTAATATCCGTTTAAATATTTAATACCTACAGTAAATAATAACTAATTTTTAACAATAACCTTAACTAATATTAGCTAAATATCTAAACATTGGTTTTTTAGTATAGATAAATATATTACGCGTATATTTTACGTTATAATTTTGTAAGTGTACCTGCAGTTATCACGTATACTTTTTATATAATAGTTTTTACGTATTTTTTAAACATAATACAGTTGCACATAATATCAAAACCATATATTTATAAGACCTTACCTTTCTTCCTTGTACTTATCTTACTTATTACTTTTATATCTACAATGTGTAATAATAAAACACACAAAAAAAATAAACACATATTTATACGTTTTAACTTCGAATTAAGAACAAAAGTAAATTATTTAATATAATGACTTTATATTTTCTTCTTTTTTTTTTCATTTGTTTCAATACTGTTTTTAATTCGAACCGGTTCTCGAATGTCTGACTTCAGCATTCTTTTTGGAAACTGAGGGTCTATTAATTCCGGTAACAAACACTCCCAGTAAAACCTAAAAAAATAATATGATTGTATTATTTAAAAACGTACTCGCATTTTGACGTCTTATTGTTATTGCAATTAAAAAGAATATTACGTTTGTAGTGCTTTCACCATTTTATTTTCCCAAAAAAAGTTATCGTACTGGATTTTTTCAACATGAATCCAGTTAGAAGTGTATACAATAAAGTAACATATTTCTCTTTGAGAAATATGTAACTGTCCCATGATTTGGAAGTAATATGCATGGTCATGTTTTAGTACAACTTTGTTATTAATTAAACTGCAATATTGTAACTAAAAATATTTAAAAACAATGAACACATCAGAATTTTTTATAATCAATTTTAAAAATTTTAATTCTTAATCTTACGAGTTTTTTTTCTACTGCGTCAACTGCACTAACAGTATTTTGTGCTGCAAACGGGCATTTTATTTCTATGACTGCATTATTTCCAACTAAGCCATCTAAAAATATGTCAGAACAATATATATCATATATTTTATTTATCTTATACCTAAACTTCAATTTTGTAACTATACCTGGACTAGCAGCCAGGTATGGAATTATCGGATCTACTATTAGACCACTGGTCTGAACTTGTTCACCAATAATTTTCTGAGCTTCTTTTCTAGCTATATCCTCCATGTCACGACCATGTTTTAAAGATTTTGATTGGGCTTCAGATGCATATAATATATTATAAACCGTGTTCTTACAACTTGTAGTACTACGCATTTTACAAATCTGACCAAACCGAGAAGCTGTAAGACGTAATCTGCGTTCTCTGTACCAAGCTTCACTATTGTTTTGTTCGCGAGTATTCGATTCAATTTCATAAATATTTGAGTTTTTTAATGAAACAAGGAACTGATTTTTTTTTTCTTCAAATATTTCTGGTGATAATTCTTCGACTAAAGGCTCAGCCAAACCATAGTCCTCATCTGGTCCGTTTTCTGTACGAGATTTTTTAAACTTACGTGTTTCTGGGAATAATACTCGTCTTCGTTTAGTGTTACTTACTATTCGACTATGGTCTTTTAAATATTTTTTTCCAAATTTTCCTGTAACATACATAATTAATCGGTTGTAGAATATTTTATAATAGGTATTTAGTATTTGTTTTTATTGTTAGAGAAATTCCGTAATTATACTAAAATAATAATAATAATAATAGGTAATAATTTTAAATAATAAAACTAAATATACCTGGACTGAAATTATTTGTCATTTTTTTGTGAATCTTTCGTAAAAATTGCTTGCTATTAAATGATACAACGGCAGCTTCAACACGTGTATTATAGTTCCCTCGACTAGAAAAATTAATTCTCTTACCAGCAATGTGTTTGTTAATTACGGAATTAAATTGTTCACAAATATTGTTGTCTTTATTTTCCAATAAACTTTCCGCATTAGCAATTAATCTCGACACACAGCTTTGAATTTCAGACATGATTCCCCCATTGACAGCCTCCGGAACTAGATTTAATTCGTTTGTTTTCGAACCATTGCAAAAATAAGTTTCACAATTGGTATGATCGCCTAAGCGATGAAATGGACCATTACCCAAATCTTTGCGAATTCCTGAATATGTAAATAATTAATAATAACTTAACTTTCACATAAATAAGCATAATAATCAATACAACCGTTTAGTTACAAAAAAAAAATACACCCACCTTTAATTTTTTGTGACATAATTAAACCATTTAAATTTCGCCAATGCTTAGCAGCTTTAGTGACATCGGATCGGAACCGAAGAATGTTTGTTAAAATAAATTTTCGTACACGAAGTGGATATTTTGAATTTCTAGCTATCGTAGTCAGTTTTGAAGTATAGTTTCGCATCAAATGATTACAACATTCAATTTTTTTTATATAAAAGTTTGGTCCGTACGGCTGAACTTCGAGGAGTCTTTTTGTCACACTACTATCACCGTCCCCTACATCGATGTTACGAATATTGTTGAATTAAAAACTATTATCTCTCCATTATACAAAAAAGTGTTGACATTTTTAATTTACCAATAATTCGATTAAACTTAAGTCCATGCATTTCCACGCTTTTTAAAAAGCCTTCTACCACACCATCAGCTTCCATACTTGTGGATGATTTTTTCCAGTTCAAAAAACATTTGTGTTCTGTTAGAACTCCCTTGCTGGACGCTGATCTCTGGCAAATAACACAATACTTGTTGCGAATACCAACAAACAAAACTTTTTTGGTCTTATGGCCAATTATGGTCGCCTGTTAAATTAAAATGTAATTAATAAACTATTAACATATACATGTATTAAGTACAAATTAAAATAACTCACAACACCAGATGACGCGTCATACTTAGTCTTATAGCTCCGTTTGGACCATTGTCCATCTGCAACTACTGTAATCATGGGAATCCCATCAGTATCTATATCACCACAATCTAAAGCTATTCTTTTTTCTTCCTCGCCGGCCATTTGCATTTCTTCCCATGCAGTATCGTGAACAATTTCGGCTATAGAAGCCTGTGTTTTAACAAAACTACTACACGACAATGATGGTAGTTCTAAAAATGCTGCGAACTCGTTCAACTGAGTATGTCCAATCCCTACATTTAAACTTATATTATTTAATTTTAGTGACATAATTTCACAGCCCTAGCTACTAATGATAAATTATTGTTATAACATATAATATGAAAAATGCAAACCTATAGCTTGACATGCATTAACAACAGATTTATTGACTGATATGGACTCGATATTCGAAATATCATCGGTATACAATTTTGTAACTATATTACACATTTTACATTTGAAATATAGAACTGATTGTAAACCTTGTATTGTTTCATTTTGATATTCCATATCAATAAAAGAACATCCGAATCCACCTTCATGTCGTTTTTGAATCTGGTTAATGAAATATCCAATATCGACAATCCTTCTACCTTCAAGACTTCTAATACAATCGATAAATAAATACAAATAATTTTATTGTAAATGTAATTTTATTAAATTAAATTGTAATTTTAACAAAAATAATATTATATAAATTATTTACTTGGAAACTATAGAATCATAGGGTTCGTTACTTGATTCTACACTCAACTTTTGTTCAATAATATAACTCATAGCTACGCGTGCATCATCTGGTGTATCAAATGAAGTACTAGACTGCTGAGTCTTTGTATGCGAATTGTAAAATGATATTGGAGTGCTAGTTAATATAGGTTTCCTAGACAAATTGAAAAATAGTTAAAGTTGCATCGGAATTCAATGTCGATAAACATTTTTTGGCTGAGTCAAAACTCTTGAAAATGTAATACAAGGTTTCTCATAATTTGTACTTATTGCTATTAAAAAAAAATCAAAAATTGTAAGTCACAATTTTTTTTTATAAGCGTAGAAAGTTCAAATTTTTACGAAATATGATAAAATCGCGAAATGTTGAAGTTATTTTGTAGTTGAAGATTCAAATTCATACATTTGTTTGTATTCATACCTAAGAATTTAAAATTTGATACAAGGTTGTCCATAAGTTTTTCTCACAATAATTATAAAAAAAATTCCAGTTTTTCCTTAATTTTTTGTTTGTTTTTCCTGTCGCTTTTGAAAACTAGTGGGAATTTCAAATTTTGACCTCCCGAATGCACCAACTAGATTTACTTTCCTGCCAGAAACGGTGCTATTTAAGAAAATCGAAGCACTTTTACTGCAAGAAACCGTGTTGCCAGACACAAAAAAAAACACACATCATTGTAAAATCAATACATTCATCGCTCCGCTCAGAATCTAAAATTCAGACGTAAAATAACGATTTTCTATCAAACGGTTTTAGATATAAAATAAATAACCTAATACTGTTGTAATAGTGGAATGTATTTTGGATTGCACAATAAATAAAATATAACTATTATTAGCTATATCTATCTACGCATTCGACATTAAAAAATTTAAATAATATAATAATAGTATGATAAACTTACTTTTTTTTTGAACGAATTGCTTTCATTCTAGCTGAAATTGATTTCGGTTTACACACATATCGCGCACTTGTGTAACCGTGTGCTTTTTTCGAGCCTTTCATTATAAATTATTTTGAAAAATAAATTAATTCTCTTCAATAATTTAGAGAAAGATATAAACACAAACACAAAATTGCCTATTATAGTTTCTTTCAAAACACTTTGAAAGTAAATTATTAAAATATTTAATAATTCATAATATGTTGGTATTGACCACATAAGTTCACTTCCGACGTCTTAATTTGATTATTCCAAAATAAGGACTAAATACAAAGTCATGAACTAAGACGTAATATAGCTCATTTTTTATATTTATAATGCCGCCTATAATATTTATAGTTTGATATGATGGTAATACGTAAATACGTAATATCTTATTTTATTATTTTGCCGGGCGGTTAGGCGCAGACAATAATTATTATTTAATTTTAGAAACTCAGATAACACCAAGCCTGCGTGTCGTACGCCCGCATTGTCGAATTCATAGAATAGTGACGTTCGGTCGTCGTCGTCCGTCGTGTATAATATATTATCCACTGTATTTTTGTGGCAGCACATACCACGGGCGAACCTAGCAAGTTGTCGATATTTTTTCATTCAAACTACTTCCGCTCTATAGCCACAATTTCAATTATAAATAATATAAATAAAATTTTATTTCACCATCTGAAGCATGAGAATGTTAACTACGGCCGAGCGTGGAGTTTTTTTCGATACCTATTGTTATTATCGTCTAAAAACACGTGGTAAAAAACTAAATTTTCAAATTTTGACATTAAAAATTAAAAATTAAAAAAAAATTTTAAAAACAAAAGCTCAACGCTCGGACCTAGTGAACATTTCCTTCTTTCATTATCTGTAATCATTTTGTTTCTACGATTAATACAAAGGAATCTGTACGCATAGAGCGTCAATGCATTTTATTACGTATGAAATGAGTGTGTAGCGTCCTCTTAATTAATATAAATTAGGTGTATATATATTTTTTAAACATAACACTTTTTATACCATTGATATTTTGGGACATGGGTTAATTTATTTTTAAATAAAACCCTATTATAATAATTTGTATAATCACTTACAAACTAACAAAACTAATCAAATGACCAACCTTTATTAGATGTAATTAGTAAATACTTGATTTGATTAATAACATTTTACAGTTTAGTAAAGTAGATTAAAAATATTGCTTGAATGAATATAAGTATTTCTCCTTCTATCAGTTCTATCAATTGTTATAATGTGATCATTATTGTTTTAAACATATTATAATGCAGACACACAGTATTATCAGGGGTGTATTGGAGCGTATACGGGAGTATACGGCGTATACTCATAACAATATTTACAAAGAAATGCGTATACGTGAAAAAAATATTCATTTTTTAAGTATACGGTGGGTAAATGTTGAGTATACGGCGTGTATACAGTTAGGGCTAAGATAATAGTTTTTGAAGATTTAAAATTGGCTTTTTAAATTCTACTGTATAAGTGTATAACATAAAAAATAATATTTTATGTCTTTACTCTTTAATCTTTAATCTTTATGATTAAAATATATCATTTATCACTTTATTAGCTTGTTATACGGTATACTTGTGTAGTCTATAGTTTAAAACCATGGTATAATCCAATATAATATCTAATATAATTGTTAATAAATTGTTATTGATAGTATTATTTACAATCTACAATCAGTGAGGTTATATCACCCACGGCCGAGCGGCAAACGCTCGAGAATCATACAATGTTATCATAAACAAGCTATAAATAGATTATAGAGTTGAATATTTTATAATATGTTTACATAAAATATGACAATATTTAGTAAAATATTTAAAATAGTTTTGTTGTATGAATTACTTATCATTTTAAATGTTTATCTATTGCTGTTATGCCTGTTAAATATAAGTAATATAATGTTATTATTATAAAATTGTGTTATTCTGTGTTATATTTCAATTTTATAATTTATAAACCTGTTACGTACCGTGTTATTTTACACATATATATTATACGAAGAGGTGATGTGTATACCGATGGAATAACATATTCAAACAGTGTAGTATCGAACGGCTATGGCGATCACCTGCACATCGTGATATTTAATATAATGAATAAGACATGATCACACGTCCTGGACTTCTCAGAAATGATGAGTAAACGATAGTGTTAACATTGTACTATTTAATATGACAATTAAGACTTGATCACACGTCTTGTAATTCTTAGAACCGATGAAATCGCAGGAAAGGCACCCAACTGAATAATACATTTAATTTAGAGAGCTCCTTTAGGTCATCGGAAGTCACCACCTCCTCAGTCACCACTCTTGACGGTTAACCATATATAAGGGAGACCAGGGCAAGAGCTCAGCAGACGGTTAGGGATATTCGAGACGCTCAGAGGCAGGTCGTAACACCACTCACGGTCTCGTCTATCAGTATTTCAGAGGCAGGTCGTAACACCACTCACACCATCTTGTGCTTATAAAATTGTATTCTTGTACGAGTTAATTGTATTAAATAAAGACTTAATCTTTTAACTTGCAAACATTAGTATTTCTATTTCTACGTTGATATATGTATCGACGTTGACATAACGGACGCAACAAACCATATTTACGTACGTACGACGTACCTACGGATCCTACACACAAACCTTCGTACGGTACGATCCGTACGTACTACGCATGGTAAAATGTCTCCGACTAATAAACGTCCTACAGCTTCGATAACTAATTATTTTAATCCTGTGACCAAAAAGGTAATTATAATTTAATATTTACATTTTACAATAAATAATAATATCCTAAGTCAAGATATCTATTTATTAATGATAAATAGCAGATAGGTGCTTCGTACTTAACGTAGTACAATAAAAAGTCTGCACTATTTGTATTTCTTCTTTTACTATTTTGTGACAGATCGAAATCAAATATTTAAATATTTTTTCAAAACTATTACAATAATTACTTATGTTATCATATAGTATGTACCCATCTGTGTACTTTATCAAACATTTTTTACCATTTTAGATTAAACAAAACATCAGTAATGATACTCAAAATATTACAGACAATTCTAAGACTTCCAATGAAGATGACCCACATCCTGTCATGTATAATGACAAAATCATTTCATCGACAACAGTAAGTTATATTTATCTTACTAAGAAAAGTAAAATTAAATAATAAAATTTTGGTATTAAAATAAAAATTTAGAAAGTTTTATAATTCATAAAATGTATAACATTAATTATTTTTTAATTAATTTATTAATTTAATAAAAAATTAACTAACTAGTAAAGTTGTTTAAAACAATTATATTTTGAACTAGGTAATGCTCAACTTTTATTATTTTTATTTATATTTTAGAATTCATCATGGCCAACAGATTGGACTACCGAACAATGGCATACGAAGAAGGCAAAATATGAATGGTTAATATTTTTTGATGGAAAAATTGGTTGTTCTTTTTGTCGAGATATTGGATGTTTAACTAAATTTAAAAATCGTGGTGTAGAAATTTCATCTGAATGGGCAGAATGTAAAATTAGTGGAGGTAAGAGTAATAAAAAGGAAACAAGACTCTCAGTTCTCCGTAACAAAATTAAAAGGCACATCTCTTCAATGGCTCATAAAACTGCTAGTAATATAATAACTGAAAAAGAGTCTGATATACTAACAAAACAATTTGAAAATAATGTTTATAAAATGCATAAATCGACTGAAACTATTTTTCGCACAGCATATTTTATTGCCAAAAACAATAGACCTTATGATGACCATTTCAAGCTACTTGAATTACAAAAGATCAATGGTATTGGTATTGGTACAACATTACATTCTCGATTTTCTTCAACAAATATTATCTCACATATTGCAGCAGAAATGAAGGAAAAAGTTGTATTAAATATTATTAAATCTAACTCTAAACTATCAGTCTTGATAGATGAAAGTACAACAATGAGTACATTATCTACAATGGTAGTGTATATAAAATCATCAATTTCTTATGAAGACCCGGTGTTTATATTTTTGGATCTTGTCGAATTAAGATTACAAACAGCTCAAAATATAACTAATCAACTTGTAGAATGTTTACACAAATCTGGTTTCAATGATGAATTTTTAAAAACAAACTGGATATCATTTGTGAGTGATGGAGCCAGTGTACTTATTGGTAAAAAAGCTGGAGTGGCAAAATTACTTAAAGATAAATATTCTTTAATTTTTAACTAGCATTGCCTTAATCATCGCTTAGAACTTGCTGTCAATGATACAATGAAGGATATAAATGCAACTAATCATTTCAAAAGTTTTATTGATTCACTATATGTTTTATATAATAATTCCCCAAAAAACAAAAATCAATTAAAGGATATTTGCAATGAACTTGATATTATTTTTGTTAATATTGGAAAAGTATTAGATGTTCGCTGGGTAGCAAGTAGTTGGCGTACAGTTAAATCTGTGTGGAGAACATTTCCTGCCCTAAGTCAACACTTTCATTCATCTTCATTAGACATAACTAGAGATGCAAAATTAAGAAGTAAATACTTAGGTTTATATAAAAAAATAACTAGTCCTGAGTTCATTTTTGATTTAGCGTTAATGTGTGATGTATTGTATGAACTTTCTACTTTATCTTTGGCTCTCCAAAGTAAAGATATTACATTGATAAATGCTGATTCAAAAATTAAAAGATCAATAAGAATAATTGAGTCATTTAAATATAAAAATGGTGATCACATGGAGGAATTTAAAAAAGATTTATCAAATATGTTATTTAAAAATGTAAAGTTAACTAGTTATTCGAGAATTGTTTCCATTAACAGTGATCAATTCATAACAAGTATCTGTGTTAATCTAAATTCAAGATTATTAGATAAAAATGATATTGATAGTTCAATTCTTCAAGATATCTGTATACTAGATAAAACTACTTGGCCTCAATCGGTTGATGTAAGGTATGGTGAAGACCAAGTGAAACGAATATGTGACCGATTTTTTTTAAATAAAGATAATGCAGTTCATGGTTTTAGAGAATTTTTAGAAAAA